GTCACCACATAGTATTGTTTTATGCTGTACGAAGAGCTAATTATTAATAAAAGTGAAAGTTTTAGTGTATCTATGAATTCATTAATGAAGCATTTCCATTATGTATTTTAAAAACGTCATCTACTGTACAATTGGAATACCGTTAAACCTGTTGTTATAGTACTGTTTAATCGTTTTGTATACATAAACACTACTGAGTCCTGTAATAAATATTTTTAATGATAACTTGGAATATTTCTTTTATGTTGACAGCCAAAAATCCTCCTCCTGCTTGCTTACAGATACCTATGCCATACATACCTGCCACTGACATGTGCATAAAAATGTTTGACATTTATACGCCTGGCAAAAACTTACACATGTGCATCAATTTCCTCACACGTATCGAACACGCCGAAATATTTGTACTAGAATTCGATTGTATTCAATTTGGTAGAGACGGCGTGAGTATACAAAAATTCAATTCAACTACATCCACATCGAGTACAACTCAAACTACGGTATCGTATGATTCGACAGTACCAGACTTAAATATAGACCTTATGGAGTATAACAATACATTGAACGAAAATTTGTAGACAAAATAAGATACATGATACTTTTATAAAAACTAATTAATATATATTTTATATACACGTATGTAATAAACGCAATCAATATGAGCTACAGGAAATAATAAATAATAAATATAAATGAGCGTTTTATAACGTACTTTCAATGCGATTTTTCATAGAATAATTATTTTTTTATTCCAAATAAATTCATTTCAATAAATAAATAAATTAACTTTAACATTACTTATATACACCTAAGCGTCCTTGAAGAAACGCTGTAGATTTTTGTTGAGTAAACAATGAGCAATAATTTTTCATAGTGGTCATACTTTCTTCATGAAATGTATAGCCGTTTCATCTGGATCTGAAGAAGACAATCTCATCCGTCTGTGAGATCGACCTCTTCTATCATTAGGTACTATGGCTATTGGCGTTAATTCTTTAAGACTTCTAAACGATTCGTCATCGTCATCATCCTCTTCCGTTTCATCATCATCATCATCATCATTTTCCTGACCTTTAACAGCCGGTGTAACACTGCTTGAAGCAACAGCTGCTGTTGTGGCTTCAGTAACGGTTACAACGGTTTTATTCGTTACTGTCCCCGTGCTAGTGGTTTGGTTTTTTTCGGTATCGGAAATACCAACAACGTCAGCGGCCGAATCAATAATATCTGACACTATGTCGTCGTCATCTTCATCGTCATCATCCTCGTCATCATCATAGTCTTTATCCTTTTTATTTGTAGTTGCCGATGTGGACGCAGATACTTGAACACTATTAGGAATCGTTTCGACACGATCTGTGGGGTTTTCATCTAGTGACGCTAAAGTAGACGTCTCTGAATCTTGTACAACGCTAACGGTGTATGAAGTTGATGTAACAGACTCAACACTCACTTGTTTTTCAGTTTGTTGACTAGTCGAATAAGCTGCTGTTGTTGCTTTAGTTTTGACGGTAACAGGCTTAACTGTAGAAGGTTTTACATTTTCCACTACATCATCTTCTTCTGCTGCTGCGGCACCACCTCCAAACAAGCTACTTAAAAAGTCTGAACTTAAAGCGCTGAATCCAGTATAACCAGTCGAGTCTACGTCATTTTCGGATTCTTCTTCAGCCACATCATCATCATCATCTTCTTCTTCGTCGGCAGCACCCAAACCGTAGTCATCGTCATCGTCATCATCGTCGTCATCTTCGTCGTCATCTTCGTCGTCTTCATCCTCACCTTGAGCCAACGAAGGTAACGGTTGGCCGGGCTCTACCTTCATTCCTTGAGGTCCAAAACGGAAACATGATACTCTCAATGCTGCCTCGACGTCGTCCAAAGCCCTCAATTCAAGTCCCAAACAAGCTCTAAATTGATCCCCGTCGCGTGATATCCCGTAAACTCGACCGCAAAACTTTGAAACACCACCAGGCAGGTTCATACACACGGGTTTAGGCTTTCTCCCGGATATAGTAGTATTACGTAATACTCTGTCACCGAAGCTCATCGTCACTGCCATTTTATCACCTTTCAAATACTTAAGAGTCGCGCAACCTGTAACAAGAATCAATGACACATTCTCCTATGACTAACAAAGTTCCATGTAATTTTGGACAGACAGTTAAAATATACATACGTAAATACCTCAATGATATAATATAAATCAATTTTCCAAAATAATAATTTTTCAAATTTTAATGATATTTAGTGATCAAACAAAACCTATCTTTTTTCAGTATTAAAGTTAATTTATATTATATGACTAGTTTAAAAATTTAGTTAAAAATAAT